TTGGCCTTATCTATTAATACTATTGCAGTGGTTACATAATGTGACGTGGACGACGCAACGCTCGGTAAACACTCCGTCCCCCTACCCCGCTGTGTCCTTTGTTACGTCACTGTGGGTAGAGCTGTTACGTCACCGTAGGGGAGGGGGAGGGGGTGTTTACTAGCCTGTTACTGTAGCAGCGGCAGTAGCTCCGATTCTGTTAAGTCACCGCTGGAAAGGGGGGGGGGTGTCCTGCGTAGCCAAAAACGTCACAATATGTTATATATATTTGCCAGCAGTATAATTATAACATGGTTGTTATTATTTGATTTTTATTGGGTTTATTAATGAATATAATGACACTTCATACCTGTTAATTTTGCTTTAAGTAGTCCCTATGTTCTGTTCGTGGTCTTGTGGTTTGTGTGACTGGTGTATGACCTTCATTTCTTTGTACTGATTTTTTATGTATTTCGTGGCGCATGCATATCTCAATGACAAACATGCACAGACTTGAAACTAAGAAAAAAAGGGATGTACAAAATTTGTGCAACAAAACTAGACAGCAAACCAAGCCCATGAAAACCAGTGCATAGGATTGACTGGCGAATTCTGTGAAACTATTTTGTGTCTCAGGCAACTAAATACTTTAAGGGACGACACTGACCACCAGAGTTTACAGAAAACCCACCCATACTGGCCGATATCAACTTCAAATCTAAGCATCCGTTGCATGTGCAAACAGGCTTAATTCAGAATCTTCAAAATACAGCTTCCACCTATGCCAAGAACAAGAAGAACTGCACTAGCAGGACTACGGTGGAGGTATTCGACCCAGCCTCTACCTAGCAATGGCCGCCTAGCAATGACTTGTTCCACTTTCCGGCTTCCAGCCACCATGCCAAAATATTTTAAGGGTTTATCAATGGTACAGTCCTTTATAGATCATATTGTTAAATATCGACACACGAAATAATTCCAACTTCTAAGCCCCATGCAATAATGAAACACATTCTGCTAAATTAATGCCGAATGCATTTCTTAACAAGGGACTATTCTATACGAAAAGATAACCACATGATACATATTTCTTATGCAACGAATTATTTTTTTAATTCGCTTAGTGGGCGGTGGAGTCCATCTGGGTCCACTAGGCACGGCGGCCACTGATTGGCCTATTATTCCTGTCCCGGGTGATTATGATGATGGAGAATTTGGTGGAATGAAGATTGGCAGGGGAAACCGAAGTACTCGGATCCTATACAACGAGAGTCACTAGTACAAAAAATGTATACACATATTCATTCATTCATCTGTGATCTGTCAAGACGACAGGTCCACAGTCTCTTCCAAAAGAGTTCCTCCACTTGATGCGATCTAGAGCTTTCTCCTTCAAATGAAAATATCCTCTTCTGTCCCCAAGGTCATCCAGCATCTTCTTACTTCTTCTTCCTCGTCTTCTGGTCACTTCCATCCGCCCGTCTATCTTTCCTTCAATAACTTCTTTTAGTAGCAGTTACCGCGTAAGATATTACCAATCCAATTAGCCTTCCGTTTTCTTATTTCGTGTAGGATATTCCTCTGCTCACTGCTCTAAATAACACTCCTTCGTTTCTCACATAATCGATCCAACTGATCTTCTCCATCCTTCTCCAACACCACATTTCGAAGCTTTTCAGGGTTTTCTGATCTACTGCCATAAGCGTCCAAGTTTCAGCTCCATAAAAGCAATGCTCCAAATGTAGCATTTCACTAGTTTGTTTCTCAAATTTAAGTCCAATTTGCTGGTAAAAAGATTCTTCTTCTTTCTAAACCCAGCTTTTGCCATGGTAATCTTAGATTTAATTTCACACGTACGGGCTCGGTGACTTCAAAGTAGGAGGGCAAATTATTCAATCTGTGAAATATGCAGATGACCTTGTGTTAATGGCTAAGGAAGAAACTGTGCTACAGGGCATGATTGATAGACTAATTGAAATTGGAAGGTGCTATGGCATGGAAATGAATGTGGAGAAAACAAAAGTAATGAAAATTTCGAGACAACCAACCCCAGTCACAATAAAGATAGACCAAAAACAAGTGGAGAATGTGAAATGTTTTAAATATTTGGGTAGCTTGTTAACAGATGATGGAAGGTGTACTTGTGAAATTAAATCCAGGATTGCCATGGCAAAAGCTGCATTTAGCAAGAAGAAGAATCTTTTTACCAGCAAATTGGACTTAAATTTGAGGAAGAAACTAGTGAAATGCTACATTTGGAGCATAGCTCTGTATGGGGCTGAAACATGGACACTTAGGGCAGTAGATCAGAAACATCTGGAAAGTTTCGAAATGTGGTGTTGGAGAAGAATGGAGAAGATCAGTTGGACCGATTATGTGAGAAATGAAGAAGTGTTAATTAGAGTCAGTGAGCAGAGGAATATCCTACATGAAATAAGAAAACGGAAGGCTAATTGGATTGGTCATGTTTTACGCAGAAACTGCCTTCTAAAAGAAGCTATCGAAGGAAAGATAGAGGGGCGGATAGAAGTGACAAGAAGACGAGGAAGAAGACGTAAGAAGATGCTGGATGACCTTGGGGACAGAAGAGGATACTGTCATTTGAAGGAGAAAGCTCTAGATCGCATTAAGTGGAGGAATTGTTTTGGAAGAGACTGTGGACCTGTCGTCTTGACAGATTACTGATGATGATGACCTTCCATCATCTGGTAACAAGCTACCCAAATATTTAAAACATTTCACATTCTCCAGTTGTTTTTGTTCTATCTTCATTGTGACTGGAGCTGGTTGTCTCGAAATTTTCATTACTTTTGTTTTTCCTACATTCATTTCCATGCCATAGCACCTTCAAATTTCGATTAGTCTATCAATCATACCCTGTAGCACAATTTCTTCCTTAGTCATTAACGCAAGGTCATCTGCATATTTCACAGTTTGAATAATTTCCCCTCCTAATTTGAAGTCTCCAAGCCCGTCCAGAGCTTCTTTGGTAAGGCATTCGCTGTACAAGTTGAACAAAATTGGTGCTAAACAGCATCCTTGTCGAACTCCTCTTCCAATCTTCACACTTCTTGTCTCCCCTCTGTTCAGTCGTACTCTGACTTTCTGATCCATGTACAATTTACTAATCAATCTTCTTTCACGCCAATCGATACCTGTTTCCTTTAGGATCTACATTAATTTGGTCGAATTTACACGGTCAAATACCTTCTGCCAGTCTATAAAGCAAGCACACAGTTCTTCATCTATCTCCAAAGTTCGTTCTGCTATAATTCTCATCATCCCAATTGCATCCCTAGTTCCTTTTCCTCTTTTAAATCCAAACTGATCCTCTCCAAGTATATTCCCTATTTTCCTTTCAATTCTTCTTTTAAGTAACTTTGCTGTATGTGCAATAAGGCTTATTGTGCGATGGTCGCTGCATTTTGTAGCTTTTGCCTTTTTTCTTTAAGGCAATCATTGTCACTTCTGTAAAGTCCTTTGGCCACTCCCTGGTTTCATATATGGTGTTCATTAGTTTTGTCAGTGTTTTCAAACCACCTTCTCCCGGTAACTTAAGCACATCTCCAAGTAAATCATCATCTCCTGTAGCCTTTCCATTCCTCATGTCCTTGATAGCCTTTTCCACCTCACTTTGTAAAATATATGGTCCTTTCTCGTCTGTATCTACTTCTTCTTCTGGTTCAACTTTTAAGGTTTCTGGCCGATTATGTCGATCATATAGTTCTGTAATATAATTTTCCCAAATTTTCAGCATTTGCCCCTGATCTACTATGCTATTCCCTTGGGACTCTTGGATGCCAATATTTTGAATCCCATGGTTCTTTTTCCATCCTAGTTCTTTTGTCTTCATGTACATCAAATCATAACGTCCTGTCCTTTGAAATCTATAATCTCATTACATATCTTCTCAAGATATTCCTTTTTGGCCCTGTCCATGGCTCTTTTCAGTTCATTCCTCAATCTCCTTTATTTCCTCCTTCCTTCTTCGTTGTTTACATTCTTCCATTTCCTTCGCTCCTCCATTTTACTCATCATCTCCCGTGTAACCCATGGTTTTCTTGCTATCTTCTCAACTTTACCAACCAATTCACTAATAGTATCTAACATGCATTCTTTTATATTGTTCCACTGCACTTCAGCATTTCCGCTTTCACCTTCAGTTGCACTGAGTTTCTCTTCTAGGGTCTCCTGCACGCTATGTCTGTGAGCATATAACTTCTCCAAATCCCATCTAGGTCTGCGCTTTTGGAATCTTATAATTTTCTTCAACCTGGCTTGAAAATTGGCAACCAGTAAGTTGTGGTCAGAGTCAATATCTGCCACAGGCAGCGTCTTCATATCCATCACACTGTTTCTGAAGCGATGTTTCACAAGGATGTAGTCCACTGATGTCACCTCCAATCCCTAGGTGCCTTCCATGTGTAAAATCTTCTCTTTGACTTCTTGAATGAAGTGTTGGTAACAATCAGGCCATCTCTTTCACAAAAGTCAATATATACACATATACATAGTATATTTTATATTCTAACGTTCCCATTTTCCTTACTCTTAATTATTACCATGTGAATAAATAAACAGATTGATGGATAGTGCTAACAACTGTAGAATTATGGCAAATCCTGTAATTGCATTAGACTTTTTTAACACAGCATAATTCTTAAATGTTTTAATTACTTGGCTTCAGTATCACTTTCTCTCATTAGTACACATGCCTCTCCAGCACATCTCTAGGATAACTAGTGCTTTAGTAAGGACTTATATAAAATATTTCCTTTATCGTTGTTTTTGTTTTAATCGTCGATTAAAGTCGAAACTTCTGAGGAAGGAAAATATCCCTACTTATTACAAAGTGCAGCACGTCATGGAAAGTTAAGCTTTGTGTGTGTTACAGCGCACTACTGCGAAGTTAAGTAACTGAGCAACTCCACTGTTCATTGGGAGAGACGCGACTGTGTACAAGGGAAATAAATGACTGTGTAGCAGCGTGCTTCGAAGTGCACTAACGAAATCCCACTCACCTGTCTATGGAGATGGCCACAAGCGTGAACACGCTAGCAGCAACAGTCACATTGGCCACAAAGTTGTTCACGATGCAGTATATGGCTCCGAACGGCCAATCCGAGTTCAGCATGAAGATGAAATTGAAGATGCAGTTCAGTAAAGACATCAAGAGGTCCGATACGCTAAGGTTAACCAGAAAGTAGTTGGTCACTGTCCGCATACGGCGGTGCGCTGCAACAGACAGAAGAGAAGTGCTCGTTAGTTGAGTTCCGTTGTTCTCAGATCCTTAGCGGCCTAAAATAGAAATACGTGCTCCTTCCTGCGGAAATTCAAGGGACAAAAGTTAAAACAGTAAACTTGTTGAACAACGGATAAAGTAGGGTATAACGACGTAAACAATTTGTGTGTGCAACATGGGAGATTCCTTTAAGTGTTATTCTACTTACCCTTGAAAATATACGTATATTTGAGTAGACGTGCGAAAGTATTATATCGATGGGTATATAAAGTTATAAAGACTGTAGATAAAGTTATAATTGTGTTTAAGAAAGCACCAGTCCATGAAAATATCAAACCGATAGGTCGCCTTACTTAACCGAGCAGAATGATGATATGAGCCACTCACATTGTGTTATAAAGGCTATAGGCAAAGTTATAACCTAGCAGAATGATGATATGAGCCACTCACATTGTGTTATAAAGGCTATAGGCAAAGTTATAACCTAGCAGAATGATGATATGAGCCACTCACACTGTGTTATAAAGGCTATAGATAAAGTTATAACCTAGCAGAATGATGATATGAGCCACTCACATTGTGTTATAAAGGCTATAGGCAAAGTTATAACCTAGCAGAATGATGATATGAGCCACTCACACTGTGTTATAAAGGCTATAGATAAAGTTATAACCGAGCAGAATGGTGATATGAGCCACTCACACTGTGTTACAAAGTCTATAGATAAAGTTATAACCTAGCAGAATGGTGATATGAGCCACTCACACTGTGTTATAAAGGCTATAGATAAAGTTATAACCTAGCAGAATGGTGATATGAGCCACTCATACTGTGTTATAAAGGCTGTAGATAAAATTATAACTGCGTTTAAAAAATCACCAGTCCTTGAAGGTGTATGGCGAAGTAGGTATATATCCATGAATTTAACCTTGGCAGTAGACGGAGTCTTCGCGTCTGCGCCCGTCACCTTATTTCCGGGGAAAGAGCGTCAGGTATTCATTACACTAGAGGCTTGACGGGCTTCAGAGCCGGAATGGAAGCTGTGGAGAAGAAAAGTCTGTTGTCTTTGCTGGAAATCAAACCCAGATTCTCTGATTGACCAGCCTGTAGCTTACTTACGTTTGTAAAGGTATTATCCTCATGCCTATTACAAAGGGAACAGCAAATTCTCCCGCTTCCCTATATAGCGACCCAGGTTACATCCCAGGCTAGGTCGTTAGACTTGCCGTGGACAATATGACACGGGGACAGATTTTCTAGGAGTATTCAGTTTTACCTGCCAATTTTCACTTCATCAACTGCAATATAGTCTCGATATGGATATCGTCGTTAAATCATAAACTTAAAACAACAAGTTTTGTAAACAACTATTCCCCTGTTTTTCATCGATAGAACACGTGTCGCATAGAAAACGATGAGTCCAAAACTTCTATTGTTGTAAGTGTATTCGTTGCCACGGTAACTTTTTTACTGAGACTTTGGCCGATGACGATATGAAGATACACATATCGACACACAAACTAATGGTACGGATTCATAAAATACGCCGTTGGGATGAGCTCAGATGCCATAATAGTCAAACAAAGTTTAAGTAAGTTTGGTCAAGCCATTCAAAAACTGATAAGGGGAATACACAGACATACAGTCGGCATGATGAACTCATAAGTACATTCGTAATTTTAAAAGTAAGGAAATTAAGTTAATAAAAGAATTAAAGGTAATTATTCGAATAAGTGTAAATTACATTAGATGTGTGAGGAAACGAAAAAGTAAAAATTAAATTTGGGAGAATTATTAGCTTGAAATGACTTAGAAATTAGTGACGTGAGAAACTACTGAAATATGGTTTGGGGACGAAGGAAGTATAAATAACATTGTATTATCAAAGAGACGTTCCACCGCAAAATATTATTACTAGACAGCAGAGAACAGGAGAGGACAAAGATTATAATCCGTCATACCAGCATGCAGATGGTTTATAAGAGCATTTAAGATAAAACGACCGGTCACATGGAACGGCATGTAGGGTATAAGCCGAAGTTACAGCCTTATAAAATTCAGAGTTGTAAATGAACTACATAACAAGCTTTAGTTCGGTGCAATTACCACTTAAAGTTTACAAAGTTATTATCTTAACTTGGACAACAAGCTTAGAACATTTTGGAAGGCTTATACAGCCTAATATTAAACTGTCCTGTATAAAGCGGAACACAAGTATGCAAATTACCGAAGACCGTTAATCTGTTCGTGCTCATGAAGACGTCACGTGAGAGTAGAATGAATGTTACAGCTCTCATATTATTGTCACATCTACGGGATTAGGCGTGACGAAAATATCGGGTTCTATTTTGGATAACAGGATTTATCAGCACTTCGGTTACGCCTTCTCCCTTAATTACAATTAATACCGCGCTTTCGCTGATTTAACAATTTCACAGTTCACAGTTGGATACGCACTAGGATTCCCAGTTTTTACTAATTGTCTCTTATCACCGTATCTCAACACAGAAACTAGCGCTTCAACTCACTACGAAGTTCCCTTGTTATTTCGCCTTCAATCACTCTGGAACCTCGGAATTAAATTTCTTCTGGGCTCACTCCTCAAGCTTACGGTTGACTCATAACTGCCTTCAATCAGAGTCAAAGTCAAATTCACTTTACGACTGGCGGTTTACCGCCATTCAGTTCGGCTTGGCGTCAGGCCCCTTGAGGCTCACGACAAGAGATTTTGTTTTCTAACTGAACTCTTGCGGTAATAGTCCTTATGCAACATCCTCTCTGGCTAGAAGATAGGTTTTTCTCTTATGAATACACTTAGCCTTTCGTCAAGTGTATATTTCGCACACGTAACATGTTATTGAAAATTCTTCCTTTTTCACTATACATAATGTGACATGTTGACCCCTACCTCCCCAGCGGCACGTAGCGGTAACGTAGCGCTCGCGTAATAGGCGAGTCATCACCCCGCAACTCTCCCCGCGGTGACGTCACGAGCGGAGCCGAAGTTAGCCGAGTCCCCGCAACCTTGAAGCTATGCAAAGCGAGTCAACAGCGGTGACGTCACCAAGGCGTAACAGCGTTGCTAGGCTATACGCCACGTCACACTAGCAACAGCGAACGGAATAAAAGCCGGCTGAGCAGCAAGCGAGAGTAAGTGTGTTATCAACGAGTTCTCGGTTCGCAAGCTACAAGTACAGACGTGTGTGCGAGAATCAGTGATAGTTCGTGATAACCAGTTATATTTGGAGTGTGTAATTCAGGGAGACTTGTATAGCTCCCGCGTTATTAATACGAGAAGACTCTTGAAGATAGTGTTAAGAGATTTTGTTGTAGGGTTTGTAAAGTGTGGAAACCCGTAATGTTGTGATAATTAATTGTAGCCGATATTTGTAGATTGTTCAATAAGCCAATTAACGATCTCTACGGCGTATTCAGTAACGAAACACGTTACAATAAGTTCTCTGTCAGTACAGTCTTTACAGAGCAGATCATGCCTAACTTACATATTGTGACATGTTCCGCAACGGAGGACCCCTACCTCCCCAACGGCACGTGGCGGTAACGTAGCGCTCTCGTTACTACGGTAATAGGCAAGTCATCACCTCGCCACTCTCCCCACGGTGACGTAACGCGCAACGTGCGGTGACGTGCCGAGCAGAGCCGAAGTGAGCCGAGTCCCAGCGTACTGGTCGCTATGCAACGCGGATAAACAGTGGTTGCGATAGACGACGGTAGCAACAGTGATGCCTACCACGTGGTTGTTTTCTCGTTGCCCTGCTGAGGGTTTATAAGGGAGCTACACAGCCGCCGACGACAGTTCTCAGTTCGCAAGTTACGAATTACAGACGCGTGTGCGAGAATCAGTGATAGTTCGTGATAACCGAGTGTATTTGGAGTGTGTAACTCAGAGAGACTTGTATAGCTCCCGCGTTATTAATACGCGAAGACTCTTGAGGATAGTGTAAAGAGATTTGGTTGTAGGGTTTGTAAAGTGTGAAACCCGCAACTGTGTTATAATTAATTGTGGCCGTGATTTGTAGGTTGTTAAATAAACCAATTAACGATCTCTACGGCGTATTCAGTAACCCAAACACGTTACAATATCTTATGCTACAACGACTACTTAGTCATTTGAAAGGTCGTAAGCTTGAATACCGCCAAGTTTAAGCTTCTTATATTTTACTGCCTTCAATGAATTGTCACTCTCACTCATATGGTCGCAGAACGGACATGGATGTACTACAGTAAACACATAACATATGATCACTATCCAGCCAGTCTCTTGGTACTTCGTTCTGATCTATAGAAAACACAGCTTCCTTTATTATTATCTGTTGGACCGTTTTTACAGCGCTGTTGCCTGGCAAAGCGTTGATTAAATCCGTTACATTACGATCAAGACTGGCGTTCCCGCTGCTTTATAAAATGCAAATATTTTTCCTCGCTGACATGGAAATCTTTAACAGAACATACTGCTACACGAGTCGACTGCCGTGTTCTGAAACTTCCTTGTTTGTTCAGAGCTCATCAGGTCCATCTACGTATTATATTGTAAACTTTCCGCCAAATGCACCCGCTAATCTTGTCGTGAACTAACCTTTCACCGTGAAACACGATATAAATTTTTCTTTCATGGACTGAGGCTACTCGAAGTATGAATTAAATCTCGTCTAATGAATATATATAAACTCTGTAAAAATTTGCATCGTATTCAATTTAACATTAATTGAAAATTGTGGGGCTTATAATATTCTAAATGGATTATAGGAATTCTAATGGTATTCAATGAATTACTTGTTCTTAAATTTCAGAATTATGATGAAAATTCAGGTATTCTGTACCGCTAGTAGCAGAATAAAAACAATGAATGCCAAAGATATAAAGAAACACAAAGAGTATATAAACTCTAATAATCAGGATACAAGCAACGTAACGAAATAAAAATCCTGTGTAAATACTACGAATTCCCCATGGGTAAATAAATGCCAGATTTGTAACAACATATTTCAGCGTCCTGTGACACCGATGCATCACTTGTTCAAACATTTCTGTCTCCAATGCAACACAAACCGTTCACAGACTCTCCCTTATTTTAAAATTGCATTAAAATCACATTTAATTGCAACATATTTGGCCTTACAAGGCCAGCATCAGGTAATTGTTCACCAATACAAGGCACACAAGACCAGCTAATAAGAACCGTAAACATGGATGCGCAAAATGAAAATAACGCAGAGGAAAGAGAGCGTGTTCACTCCCAAACAAACATTTCAGTACGAACGACGATATGCAATGACATGTGATGTATTGACACAAGAACTGGTGCAGTGAGGCAGCTTCGATTGGTGAACAATTGCCCGAAGATGGCCTTGTGAGGCCGAAATATGCTGCAATTGAATGTGATTTTAATGGCATTTTAAAATAAAGGAGATTTTGTGAAATATTTTGGATTGCATTAGAGATGCAAATGAATGAACGAATGCCAGATTTATGTTGATAATAGTATCTACAATTTGTCTAACATGGCGTGAAGATCTACCTCACGAATTGCCAATGATTCACTCTCTTTCCGATAGCGCCCATATTTCATTGCTTGTATTGTCACGTATCCGGGTTTCCGTGACTAATAATAACGGGGTCTGGATTGGACACTTCGATTTATTGACAATTTCCTTTTTTTATTCACAATCAATTATAGCGCTACCGCTATCTACCCACTTCACAAATCACTAGGACATGATATCCGTTACCTGGCAACGGATTTATAATAGGAACCATAACTTAAAATCACTAAGAAATCTTCTTGATATTTCTTTGTATCACCTTTGGAATGCCGACCCTCCAAAACTCGACCCAATTCTCCAATGCTAATTCTCTAACCTCCTGTAGCTACAAACAGATAGTCTTTAAACAGCCGCGGCACTGACTACATAGAAAACACCCTCCTCTATTTG